AAAAAAAAAAAAAAAAAAAAGAAAAAAAAATACAGGAATCAGATACATCTATTGCTTTTCTTGCCCTCCCCTCTGCTTCATCTTCTCTCTTCTTGAATCTGACACACTCACACTCCCAGATTTTCTTATTGGGCTGTTTTGTTATTAATAGTTTTAGGTTCAGCTGCTTTGCATAGAGACTCCTAAACACAATTCCTTTTTTTCTCTCTCTCACAACCTGAGCTGATGGACAGCCCTGAGAACCAGCAGCTCTGCTCCCTGAGATCATCCAGAGACCCACATTCTTTCTACCTTTTTGTCCCACTGTATCCAAAAGTTGCTATTCACATCCCCGTTTTCAAAGCTAGCTAGCTACTACTGCGGCCTGCAAAAAGGGGGAAGGAGAAAGTGGAGGTAGCACATTTCACTTCTGCTCACACCCCGCTGGTCAGAGGTTGGGAAATGTAGTCCCTAGCTAGGCAGCCCTGTGCTCACTGAAATCAAGAGGAGTATAGGGGTTCTTTAACTGAAGGAAGAAGGAGGGAGGGAATGGACTTTGGGGGACAATGAGCAGTCTCTACAGTAGCTAGTTCAGATATAGGCTTAGAAATGCCAGGCTCAGCTGGGCGTGGTGGCTCACGTCTGTAATCCCAGCACTTTGGGAGGCCAAGGCAGGTGGATCGCTTGAGTCCAGGAGTTCAAGACCAGCCTGGGCAACATGGTGAAACCCTGTCTCTACTAAAAATACAAAACTTATCTAGGCATGGTGACGCACACCTGTAGCTCCAAGTGAGGATCACACCTCAGCCCCCTGACCCCTGAGTGTAGGTACCCAAGTACAGAGCTCAGGGGCTCAAGTACAGGGGTCAGTGGGCCAAGTACAGAGGTCAATGGACTGAGTACAGGGGTCAGGGGGCCAAGTGCAGGGGTCAGGGAGCTGAGGTGCAAGGATCACTTGAGCCCAAGCGGCAGAGGTTGCCATGAGCTAAGATTGCACCTCTGCACTCCAACCTGGGTGACAGAGTAAGACCCTGTCTCAAAAAAAAAAAAAAGAAAAGAAAATGCCAGACTCACCCAGTCAGATCACAAAGACACAGACATTTTTCATATTATATCTTTGAGAAGCCTCAGCTATGGGTGCAGTATTAATCATGTCTCCAGGAAACGTATTATGTCTCAGATATGCCAAATACTTTATATACATAAACTCATATAACCCTCACAGCAAACATGTGATGTGGATACCACCATTCTCATTTTAGAGATAAGAAAAAATGTATTTACAGCAGTAAAGCAACTTTCCCAAGCTCAGACAGCTAAATGGCAGCGTCAAGGGATAGGGTAGAGGGAGGTGGTAGATTTGAAATAAACCAGACAATTGGGCAAAGCTTCACGCTAATAGAAATGGGATTGAAAGTCAGGCCTCCATGAGGTACTAGAGTGTGGACCAGGAACCAAGGACAATGGCAGAAGGCCATTCAGCTTGGATAACCCACGATGCTAGGGTTAAATAAATGAGCCCTAGCTTGATTCTCATTAAGACACTGAGCAAGGGATGTGGTTACCCTGGGGCCCACCAAACCCTGAATCTAGTAGTAACTCTCCTTTTCTGCCCCAGCTCACTGGGTGGGGAAACCCCTGTGTGGTGCTGTAATCAGTTTCCACGTTTCAGGACCAGTAAGGGACTCTCCCCCGATTCAGTCATTCAGTACATGTATTGGGTGCCATCCTTTGATCAGAACTTAGGAATATACAGGTAAACAAGAACAAAATCATGCCTTCTCTCACAGAATGCACAGAAGAGAAAGCAGACACTGGATATTGTGTTCGCAATAATCAGTAGCAAATGTTGCGGTAGGGAAAGTGCCAACTGATAAGGTCCATGGCCTTCCTGATGTGAAGAGAGAGAGGTAGCCTCCAACAGGAGGGAGGGACCATTCAAAAGCAGGAGGGAGGAATCTTTTCACAGCCAGGAGAGAGAAGCCCATTCATAACCAGGAGGGAAAGGCCCATTCACGAACAGGAGGGATGGGTCCATTCACAACCAGGAGGGAGGGGCCCATTCATAACCAGGAGGGAGGGATCCTTTCACAACCAGGAGGGAGAAACCCATTCATCACCAGGAGGGAGGAGTCCATTCACAACCAGGAGGGAGGGGCACTTCATCAGAAGGGAGGGGCCCACTTATAACAAGGAAGGAAGGGCCAATTCACAACCAGGAGGGAAGGCCCATTATTTCCAGAGAACTAAAGGAGAATGGTTTAGAACTAAAGGAGCAAGTGACCAGGAAGACTGTGGGGACTGAGAACAAGGATGAGCTGAGACAACAACCAGGGAAGTATTCTGTGTAGACCACAGAACACAAGTACTGCTGCTTTAAGCCACTGTTCTCTGGTTGCCAAAAGAAGATGGCATAAGAGTTTTTAAAAGGACCCAGTAATTAAATTATTGTACTATTGACTTGCTTCTTGAATCCTCATTTCCAAGATGCTGACTCTAATTTATTTTAATTTGATCTTTTATCAAGGACTATCTTTTTCTGGTGCCTCCCTAGTATTGATGCTTTCATTTAATCACTTCAACTTCACTGATCTGATTCCTTTCCCCTATCACTTTTTTGGGGGGCAACCAGAGCTTATGACAGACAACATCCTGTAAGTAACCAAGTTGCTGCAGAATGTTAGTGACAATCACTACTGCTAATGAAAATAAACTACAAGAATATTTGTATCATCAGTCCACCTGTCAGAGGCATCTGAACAATGGCAACTCCATCTCGAATAGGGGCTAAGTATAATAAGGCTGAGACCTCCAGGCCTACATTCCCAGAGGGTTAGACATCCTAAGTCACCAGATAAGGTAAGAGGTCTGCACAGGAAACAGGTCATAAAGACGTTGCTGATAAAACAGGTTGCAATAAAGAAGCTGAATAAAACCCACCAAAACCAAGATGGCAACGAGAATGACCTCTGCTGTCCTCATCGCTACACTTCCACCAGCGCCATGACAGTTCACAAATGCCATGGCAACAACAGGAAGTTACCCTGTATGACCTAAAAAGGGAGGCACAAATAATCTGCCCCTTGTTTAATATATAATAAAGAAATAACCATAAAAATTGGCAACTTGGCCTGGGACAGTGTCTCACGCCTGTAATCCCAGCACTTCGGGAGGCCGAGGTGGGCAGATCATGAGGTCAGGAGTTTGAGACCAGCCTGGCCAACATAGTGAAACCCCATCTCTACTAAAAATACAACAAATTAGCTGGGTGTGGTGGCGGGCACCTGTAATCCCAGCTACTTGCGAGGCTGAGGCAGGAGAATCGATTGAACCCCGGAGGTAGAGGTTGCAATGAGCTGAGATTGGGCCACTCACTACAGCCCAGGCAACAGAGCAAGACTCCATCTCAAAAAAAAATAATAAATGGGCAACCTGCACCACTTGAGCTGCTCTGCCTATAGCCATTGTTTTATTCCTTTACTTTCTTAATAAACATACTTTCACTTTATGGACTTGTCTCAAATTCTTTCTTGCCTGAGATCCAAGAACCCTCTCCTGGGGTCTCGACCAGGTCGTTTTTCAGATAACACAACTAGAGCACTTCTTGAACATTTTGTGTTTAAAGTATCTTTCCCAAATGTTTTTAGGATCAGAAACACTCACTATTGTAAAGGAGAATTAAGTGACTGATAATGAACAGAGTTGGTGTTGTTACACACACGAGCTAGGATTGCAGGCTGTTAGGTAAAGAATGGGGAAGGCAGTCAGGTGCAGTGGCTCATGTCTGTAATCCCAGCACTTTGGGAGGCTGAGGCAGGCAGATCATTTGAGGTCAGGAGTTCAAGGCCAGCCTGGCCAACATGGTGAAAACCCATCTCTACTAAAAATACAAAAAATTAGTCTGGCATGGTGGCGGACACCTGTAGTCCCCACTACTCAGGAGACTCGCTTGTACCCTGGAGGTGGAGGTTGTGGTGAGCCGAGATCATGCCACTACATTCCAGCCTGGCAACAGAGAGGGCCTCCATCCAAAAAACAAAAAAAGAAGAAGAAGAATGGGGAAGGCTACATAGTGAGTGTCCTGGAGTGTGGACCTTCATTATTGATGAGGTCCAGAATTAACTCAGTTCACAAGCAATGACAGAACAACAACAACAACAAAAAACCTTGACAAAAAGTAAAAAACAGCAAAAAATTTAAGAAGCAGTGCTGAACCCGGGAAGCGGAGGTTGTGGTGAGCCGAGATTGCGCTATTGCACTCCAGCCCAGGCAACAAGAGCAAAACACCATTTCAACAACAAAAAAATGGCAGTGTTTGCACCTTCAGAGGGTGCTAAGATTTGAATCTTTGTCACCTCCAAAAATTCATGTTAAAATTTAATCTCCAATTGACAATATTAACAGGTGATTGAGCCATGAGGGGATCTCCTCTCAGGAATGGACTCGTCTATTCATGGATTAATGGGCATCATGGGAGTATGACTGGCAGCTTTATAGGAAATAGAAGAAAGATGAGAAACCAGCACTCTCAACCCCTCACCATGCAACTCTCTGCACCAACTTGAGACTCTGCACAGAGTCTCCACTGGCAGAAAGCCCTCACCAGATGTAGCTGCTTGACCTTGGACTTCTCAGTCTTCATAACTGTAAGAAATAAATCTCTTTACCTTTTAATTTATCTGGTCTTGGGTGTTCTGTTATAAGCAACAGAAAATGGGCTAAGACAGAAGTAAGTTCTCCA